TCGCCTAAGCCCAGGAGTTGGAGGTTGCTGGAGCGACTCCGCAGCACTCTACCGAGGGTGAAAAAGTGAGACTCTGTCTCTACAAAGAAAAAAAAAAATTTGTAATACTTGAGTCACATTTGACTTCTGCAATTGTAAGAAGTGCTCAACGTGACTTGCATTCATTTTTTTGTTATTAGTATATATTAAACATTACAAATTTAACACAGTTATTTCCTTTCTTAGAATACATATTTTGGGCACCTTCTATACATACACAACTTAATTTGCACTCTAAAACGAGATGTGATTTTGAATACTTTTTTTTCACTTTAATACTGTATCATTAACAATTATAGCAGGAATATCTTAACTAAAACCATACAGTTTTGTGAGACAGCAATTACACGTATTTCTATTTTACATGTTTTCAGTCTTGGGGCCGTTTTTCTGTCTTTGTTCGATCCAAAGGTAAGCCAAACCAAATACCACTTCCCCCACCCAACCAAAAACACCACAGGGTAAGGTGGTGCTTAACAATCACAGCAATATTATATTTTTCCTCCAACCACGTCTACATACCCCACCTCTAAACTAGGACTTCGTAGTTCTCTCCCAGTACTTCTTCGATATCTTTCCCTCCTGAACGTCCCCCCTCACCATCCTCCATTTAGTCACTTACTTTCCGGGTTCCCCAGAATAGAGCCTACCTCTTATTCCTAGTCAAGAGGTCTCTCACCAAATCCCTAGTTTAACGTCTGGCAGCCTGACCTCTCAGGACACTCAGCCCTCGTCAGAGAGCGCACCGGAAACGGAGATTGTCATCTTGACTCCCTTACGGCAGGAAAGCGGAGGGGCCGTTTAACGTACCGGTAGTGAGTCAAAGATTCCTGAACCAGATGGAGATTACAGAAGAAAGGCAGAATGTCGATATTTCCCCCACATATGTGCATCTGCAGTCTGATCGAGTCAGAAATACTGCGGTCGAAAGAACGGCGGGGAAGAGGAGACGTTTTCCTTGTTCCACACCGGAATCTTTAGCCATTGCACAGAAGGCGGGACACAGGCGTGCGGCAGCCAATAAGGGAGGCTGTTGTTGAGAGCGTGTCCTCGACCAATGAGAGGGCTGCTTGTTGCGCTGCAGTTGGCAGGCTGCTGCGGGAGGCGGTGGCGGTAGGGAGCCGGAGACAGCGGGGTGACAGGTAGGCGGCGGCGCTGTCTTTGGGGGACGTAAAGTGCTAGATCAGGAGGGTTTTTCTTTTTCTCCGGCTGACGAAACTGTAGAGGGGAGCTGACGAGGGTGGTCCAGGAAGACGGGAGCCGGAGTGTTGGTGATTTCGGAGCTTCTGGTGAACCAGGTAGCAGCTCGGGAGGGTCGTGAGGAGAAGGCAGTAGCTGAAGCGCGTTGAGGCTGAGCCCTCTGGGGTGACATGGGGGCCTACCTAAGACGAGGGGTGGTAGGGGGCTGCAGTGGCACCGGGAGAGGGAGGGGGGAGGCGGGGGGCAAGACGGTGGAGTGAGGGCTGGAGGAATACCTTCTATGGAGCCCCAAGCGAGAAAAGGACGCGGTATTGCAGACACCTGAGAGAAATCCTAGTGATCGCTTCTTGGGGGCCGTCCCCTGGGGTAGGGAGAGGGGGGAACGGAGAAGATATGTATGATGGTCAGATCCTGGTAACTCTTTACAGCTGTATGTTATGTAATCCTTGGCTGTTATTTACCCAAACAACTAGGTTGTCCCTCCTGGAGGAGGAGGTCTTGCAACCTACTGATGTTTCCAAACACTTTTTTCGTTGGCTTCAGTGCCTTCTTAACCCAGGCAGGCTCTAGAGGGGAAGGGTGACAGCATGGAGGAGAGAATAATCACGAAGAGCTTATCCCAAATGGGGACTTGAGTTGAAAGATACAATGTTAGTTTGCAATGAATGTGATCAGGTTTATGTTTTGTAGTTCATGAATTTTTTTGAAGGTCAAGGCTGATAACATTTTTTTTAATCTTCAGGAAAAGTGGAGAGCCTTAAAAATTCTATAATAGGAGGTAAGTGCAAGGTGGAAAATGTTTAAAAAATTAGTTGGTTGATTTTTTTTTTTTTTTTTGGCCAGAAACTGTGACTGTAAGCGACTGTGAAAATAAGTTGGTGGTCTGAATTGAGGGGAGAAAAGTCAATTTTTAAATAGTTTGCTAAGTCTGAGAAGCTAGTTTTTGAGTTATTTCTGAAGTTTAAAAGTGTACCTCTTTGAACCTCTTTGAGGTGAAATGTATTTGTAGAGATAATTAACTGTAAATTGTTTTGTTTTGAAAAGTTTTTACATACCTATAATTCATTGTTTGCACAATGAAATGTAGAATTAAAATAGGACTTCCATTTACTATGTGTTATCGAAGGACAAACTACATAAAAATTTGATTTTATAGCTCACTAGAAAACAGTTTTAAAAGAAGCATTATAAATTGTTAAAATGTAAGCTGTTTGAAATGTTGCCTTTATCTTAGAAGATAAGATCTAATGTAGTATTAGCACATTTATAATTGTCCTGAGCTTATTTTAGTGCTACATGTCAGAAAAACTTTGTAAGATTTTTTTCTATTCATGATAATGTATATTACTATATATGAACCTAAGTCAAAATTTCTTTTTTTCCCTCAAAATATCATTGGGGGGAAGAGAAGTAGGTCATTAGAGTTTGTTCAGAGTACTGAGATTTTTTCAGTGCTTTAGGTAAAAATTTTAATTGGTAACTTGTGGTTTCACTTTTTACTGTCTTTTTACAGAGTAATACTCTCTATCACAAAGGAAACTTCTGGTTCTATTTTAGGTGCAATTCTGTAGTGTTTTGAGTATCTGTGACCAAATCTTTGCCTTTATGCACGGTGGGGTATGTGTGTGTGTCTTTGTGTGTGTTCTTATTATGTAACCAGCCTACTCAAGCTGTTTTAGAGAACTAATGGCTGATTTTGAATAGCCAGTAGGTGTCATCATAGAATTCAGTAAGTTGAACATTGAGTAGGAAATCACCCAACAGTTTAAGAAGCATAATCCAAATTAGCATATAATAGTAGTTGGATTATTATACATTATAGAAGTCCTGTCTTCTGAAACATTTCAATTTTGGAGTTTTTAATAAGAAATTTGAAACATTGATTGTAAAGGAGTATAAAGTTCTAAAATGAACCTTGAAAATTTGGTTTTTAATCCAACCCTTGAACTATTGTCAAACGCAATTTGGATTTAAGTTTGTTTGTTTGTTTTTAGAGACAGAGTCTCTCTTTGTTGCCCTCGTTAGAGTGTGGCATCACAGCTCACAGCAACCTCCAGTTCTCAGGCTTAGGCGATTCTCTTGCCTCAGCTTCCCAACTGGCTGGGACTACAGGCACCTGCCACAATGCCCAGCTATTTTTGTTGCAGTTTGGCCGGGGTCAGGTTTGAATCTGCCACCCTCAGTATATGGGGCTGGTGGCCTACTCACTGAGCCATAGGTGCCACCCAAGTTCATTTGTTTTTAATGCATGGTTTTGGAATCTTACAGTAGTTTATTAAGCTCCACAATGATTAACATTTTCAACTTGACTGAGCTTTATTATAGAAAACAAAGAAAGCTACATAGTGGAAAACTGATATGATAAAATATTGGTAGAAGTCTCTAAACAAGTTATCACAATAGTACTTTGTTATTGTTCTTTTAATGCCAGAACAGAGGAATTTTTGTCTTTTGTTGTCTGTGGTGTCTTAGTTTTTTTGATGTCCAGAATTGCTTATTTTTACATTGTTATCTGGGTTTTTCTCAGAATGATGGAATGAATATTTGTCATTGTCTAGAATGTAATGTAGTGGATTCTGGAGGGAGCTGGCATAGAAAGCTCTGAAAGTGGCTTACATCTTTTATGAGTACAGCCAGTTTTCTGCTACCCTTCTGCTGAGCTCTTGTCACTTTGTATCTCTGCTTCTTATACCTGCTATTGATAGTGTTTAGCAAGAGTGTTGAACCTAATTCAAGAATTCTTCATGAAGGTGAAAAGAGGTACCTCTAAATAATCTGGGAGTTTTGAAAAAGGCACATTTTTAAAAATCATCTTTACTTTTCCTTCAGAATCTTAGTAATGGGAAAATATGAAGGGTGTAGACATACTTTGAAAAAGAAATTCTGTTGTTGGTTTGGTTTACCACAGGCTTCCACTTTAAAATCATTGATATATCAAGGCTCTGGCACTTGTGTTATGAACCAGTAACAGTAGTTTTAGCTTGAAAAGAAAGGGCTGCCAAATCTACCATATTTTTTATAGCTCAATAAATTTTCACCACTTAATGTCATAGCTAGGATAGCTTTGTAGCTAGGAGCTGAAGTTGCCAGAAATAAAAATTGTGCTGAATGTTTTGATTTGGATTAGTTTTTACTTGGCACTTAGCTGCTTTCCATAAACCAAGCTAATTTCTTTTATGATTCAGACCTGTGCTGATTTGCACAGATACTTACTCATCTCCTGTTCTCTTAAATGTCTCTGAAAGCTATCTAGAATTAAACTAAAACTGGAAAGTAAGAACTAGAGTTTTCTTGATTAAAGGACCTTTTCAATAGTGGTATGATATAGTGAATACATTAATCTTTGCAAAAACATTCACACACATTCACACAATATTCATTAAAATTTGAAAATGTGGCTGGGCATGATGGCTCACCCCTGTAATCCCAGCACTCTGAGAGGCCAAGGTGCATGGATTGCTTGAGCTCACAAGTTCAAGACCAGCCTAAATAAGAGCTAGACCCCATCTCTAAACAATAGCTGGGCATTGTGGTGGACGCCTGTAGTCCCAGCTACTCAGGAGGCTGAGGTAAGAGAATCACTTGAGCCCAGGAGTTTGAAGTTACTGTGAGCTATGATGCCACAGCACTCTATCCAGAGGGACAGAGTGAAACATATATACATACATACTTGAAATTGTGAATGCATTCATCTTCAGGTAGGTCCAGTTTAGAAATTCATGGTTCATCTTTACAAACTTTCTGTTTGGATATTTGGCTGTTATGAAAACAAGTGTGAGAAAAAGTAAATGAATAGACTTTAATTTTGAGGAAAGCAGCAAAAACTCAGTGATGTAATATATTGAGAGGATTGACCTTGGTTATTTATAGAATTACAGTACTTTCTAGATCTGAAATATAACTGGGAAGAAAGTAGTCAGAAAATATGGTAAATAGCCCCTACCTATTGAATAGCAATCATGGGTTACTGAATAGTTATTGTGTTCTTTTGTAACACACTAAACTCCAAAAATGTCAGTGCCAAATCTCTTGTCATTATCAATACTTGACTCTTGATAGTGTTTGATTCTTAATTTATATAGACTTTTGTTTGCTACTAAGATTTGCCAGTTATCCTCCTTAAATTCCTTTCCCCATTTGTTCTATTTTATTTTATTTATTTATTTATTTATTTTTTCAGTCAGATTCTTACTATGTTGCCCTCAGTAGAGTGCTATAGTGTCACAGCTCACAGCACCTCCAATTCTTGGGCTTAAGTGATTCTCTTGCCTCAGCCTCCCAAGTAGCTGGGACTACAGGCCCCTGCCACAACACCCAGCTATTTTTTGGTTGCAGTTGTCATTGCTGTTTAGTAGGTCCAGGCTGGGCTCAAACCTGCCAGCCTCTGTGTGTGTGGCTGACACCCTACTCACTGAGCTAGGGGTGCCGAGCCATTTCCCCGTTTATTTTTAAAAAATTGGTGGGAAGAGAGAGTTGGATACTGAGCAGAGTGGGAAACTTAGATTATTTTCTATTGATGCTGTTTAATCAGTATGTATTTCTTTTGTAGTTCATTTTTTTATTCAGCTCATTGTTTTTAAATAAAAAAGAAATTGGAGTTTTGGTGAGTATATCAGTCCTTTTTCCTTTTTAAGGTGATTGTAAGACTCAGAGAGCATGACATGCTTATAAAATCTAAAGTTAGGCCAGGCAAGGTGGTTGGCACCTATAATACCAGCACTTTGGGAGGCCCATGTAGGAGGATTGCTTCAGCCCAGGAGTTTGAGGTTGTAGAGAGCTATGATGATGCCACTGCACTCTAGCCTGGGCAACAATTTAAGACCAGGTCTCAAAGAAAAAGAAAAAAAGTCTAAAATTAATATGAATTTTCAGTCTTATGTAGTACCTACTATTTTATTGTTTGTGGAAAAAACTAGGGGAAATGAATATAAAGACTTAAATGTTTCTATTCTTTAGGGTTCTAAATCTTGTCTTGTTTTATACTCTGTCACTTATGATCCTTTTTTAAAAAATTAAATTAACATAAATATATTAAAATCTGTATTTCTGATTCAGGTATTTTTCTTAATCTATTCTTTAGTTTCTATTCTATACATCTAATTGCCTGATAGATGAGAATGATTGTCAGGTCCTCCAAATACAATATGTCTACAAGTGAATTTGTGTTTTCCCTTTTATTATCTATCCAATGTGCTGAAGCTGGAGCCTTGACATTAACCTTTAACACTTACTCCTTATTTGAGGAATGCTAGGTTCTTTTGACTTTACCTTCTTACTCTTTCTTTGATTCCATTTATGGAAGAGAGTATGTTTCTCACTAAACATACTGTGTTTCCCCAAAAATAAGACCTACCCCCAAAATAAGCCCTAGCAGGATTTCTATGCATTTGTTAAATATAAGCCCTATCC